GTCTTCAATTCATACAACCTCCTTTGGAAGCACCAATGTATAAAAGGACTGCAATAATATTTCAGTCAACAAACTTTAGAGCAGTGGTTCTCAACCTTTTTAATGCCGCGACCCCCAACCGGTCGTAAGTCGAGGACTACTAAACCGGTCGTAAGTCGAGGACTACTCAACTGGTGCAGCACCGTTTGCAGAATGGGACTTTTGGCGGGCTTAGCAGGGCAGAAACAGCCTGGACAATTCCTATTGGCTTTTGAAAGCCAATAGAATTAGACTCTATTCAAGAGAGTCTATTCTATTGGCTTTCAAAAGCCAATAGAATAAAAGGGAGTAGCACAGCTAAGGAAAAGGGGGGAAAAAATGGCGTACTGCGTTGTTTGGCAACCCCCGTAAAATGGTCATTCGACCCCAAATGGGGTCCCGACCCACAGGTTGAGAACCACTGCTTTAGAGGAATGGTATGCAACATTGTTTAACCTTGTCACAATAGAATATATAGCTTAAATAGCAAAGGTGACATGATGCAGTCCTGCTACCTGCTCTGTGGATAAGATGTTCTCTGGGGTAATATCCCTGCATTAGATTTTTAAACTGGAATGTTTGGTAAGCATACACACTAGCAGGTATAAGTGTCCATTTACATGAGCTAGTGCTTTATGTCAAAAACAGAATAGCAGGATGAAGGATTGAAGAAAGATGCAGGGAAATCATTCTCTATAGCAACTATTCCTCTATAATAATGGTGCATTGCTGCTGCCTCGTACTCTGTGCACCCTGAAGTGGAAGAAAGTATCATTTAATAGCAGCTGCAACATTTGCATTTTAGAAGGAGTATAAAAAGTAGTATAAGAAATGACCATGGAGAAACATGCAAGGACAATATTATATCCTGAAAACTTAGTTGTGTGTGAAATGAAAACTATATCTAGCACATTCATTTATTTGCTTTTTACTACTAAGAAAACTTCCAATGATTGTTTTCAGCTTACAGATTATGTCCTCTGAACTTGCACAGACCTGAAAGTGCTTTTCAAAAGTTGTTGCTTTTCTTTTTATGACTCTGCAGACCTTGGAAATCCAATTGCTGCTTTATAGCAGGGTGGGTCAATTGCAACCTATGGACTGAATATGATCACATAGTCCAACTGTAGCTTCCTATATTTGTGCTCTTAGGTTTAGTACCAAAGCAACATTTTTAGCAGCATGGGTTGCTTGTATTTTTGTAAGCCATCTTTTCCCCTAAGTTCATCTGCACAATGCAGTTAGGAAAGGCTGGTCCATGGAGTCCTGACTGTAATGTGCTTCTTTCAAGCAAAGCACGTCTGTTCAGATGCAGCACTCCAGATGACAGAAATGCAAACGGGAGCCTGCCTTCTTTCCCGCCTTTCAATTCCACTGTGATAAAAGGCCGCATTCTTCTGCTATGGATGCTGCATTTAAATAAACCCACAAGATAGAAATGATGGAGGGAGGGCAGGCATCAGACTTTTTTTGCTGTAACCTACCCGGAGGGTAGTTGGGCTAACAAAATCATTAATGCCCATGGCATTTTGTCACAGAGATATCTGTTGTCAACTGTTTAGGGTATTTCCTTTAGTTTATACCCCTTCCCTGCTGTTATTCTATATCTAAATTTGTCAGATTGATAGAATCATTCCAAATCAGTGTAATATCTCTCCCAGGGAACCACCAGACCTAGAAATGGAAGACATTTGAGAAAGACTAAAAAATGAGATAAGAAGTAAAAAACAAAGAATAGCAAGATGGGGTGAATTACAGTACAATGGATCCTTGACCCTAAACATTGCTAAAAAAGAAAAAAGAAACAATAATGGCTGAATATTTGCTTTCTACCCTGAAGATCATAACAGACTCATGTCAAGAGTCTCCTACCTAAATGGTGCCAGCTATATTAAAATTGAAGGAACAATGGCATAATCCACTAAAATGTGTTTCCTTATGATCAAATGAGGTCAATCTTGCCCATCCATCCCAAGTGTATGTATGCAGGTATGTAAGGATTGATTTGATTTCATCTATATCCCAGCTTTCAGCTCTGGCAAGCAGTCAAGGAGTCTAAGAAAATGTAAAGAGGAATTAAAGGTCTTCTGAAAGCATAGAAGATCCAGACCATGTGATCCACAGACCTATATAAGTACCGCTCCATTCCAAAAATGGGAATCAGAACTAAAATTCCAACCTCACATTAAATCAGGGTCCCAAATGATTAGGATGTTGTAACAAAATGTTGCCTTTGAAACCTGATTATGATGACCATTCCCATAAGGCTAACAAGTTCTATTCCTGTTGGTGGATTATCTGTGATTATCTTTGAGGAATGATTGGGACAATTTAGTTGGAGGGCAGTGAATGAATGGAGTTATCCTATGATGTGGAAAAAGTAGATTTGAGGAAAGAAATCATCCAGTGAGGATGGATAGTGGGAAACTGAGTTCAGGAAAAAGGAAGAATATAGTGTGCAACTAAATAATGAAACTTATTAGCACAAAGTGCAGAAATGTTCACCAACCTAAGCAGGTAAGCAATGTTTCAGATTGCAACTTTTCTCAGTCTCCATGCTGACTGAAGCTGATGGACGCCGATATTGAAAATGTCTGGGGTGAGCCCTTGGCCTGATCTTCTTAGCAGCTTTGAAGGGAGATCTGTTGTTTGAAGCAGTTTTGAGTAATAAAAAAACTATATTATTTATTTTCCTTTTTAATTGAGGCTAGACAGTTATATGCTATGTTTTCATTCATTTAAGTAGTCTAATCACAGCATTAATTGCAGAATTTTATAATCATATCTGTGTTTTCTTGTAGGCTATTGTCTTCTCATTGTGGTTCTCTCTTCTCTCAATCTTTTCCCTTCCCTTAGCATCATACATCTACCTATCCCTATCATTTTACATTAACCAGTACACAATGTTATCATCTTCCAGCATGGGTGATTTTTTTCTCTTTTGCAGAGTATCTTTTATTAATATCAATTATGATTAATTATCTCATGAAAAACTACTGCTCTAATTCTGGATAGTGTTCTGTTCTGTTTCAGTTTAGATTCCAGATATTTTTAGCTTCAGCACCAACCCAGTAATATAGATTAAGCTGAGAAAACAAGAGGCCAAGGTGATTAAATAAGTTTTATAATTGATAACAAATCTAAAACTATGTTTTATTATGTTAAACATTCTACTGCATTTACAAATCTTGGTAAAGGCTATCAACAATGTATTGTACTTTTATGGCAGAATATGTCCCATGTTTTTCACCGATTCTTCCACCTCTTAATTCCCTCCCCACACACAACAAAATCTGCACAGGAAGGAAAAATGGAAATGCTATTCAATGCCACACTTATATTGGGCAAGAGCAGACATTTATCTACTCCATTGCAGTCCTCCGCAAATTAGATTCATTATATCACATTAACATTTGGCACTTGTTTTGCTGTTTGCTATTTGAATCTTTTTCTAAAACATGAACCTGATTCCATGATCTAACTCTCCTTACACACTCACATTGAGGAAGCTTTTGGCCCTTTATAAGTTCCCAACTTTAAAAGTTCCCAATTTCCCTAAAGAGTGTGAAATTGTGTTCATATTAATTGTAAGGGTTCACAACCTGATAAAGATTCAGAAAATCACTAGTTAAACAGCCAGCTACAATCTTCTTTGTTACTAATGGGAAAACTGTCTTCTCCCTCATCCTCAAGAAAGTGATTAGAGAGATAATTAAAAAAAAATCTCATTTTTTTTAACCACAGTGTATATGGGGATATATACTGGTTCCAAATGAGAAATAGTTTAGATACTGGAATTTTCATACTCTTATACCTTTCTGCTCAGTACATCTTGCTTAAGAGACTCTATGAATTGTACTTGGAAAGAATCGTGCCTGGAAAGAATCACTTTTAGTTTTAGATAGCTGCCAAATAGCCTGACATTAACTTTTATTAAACATAAGGGTGGGGAACGTTTTGATAGCCTATACTATACTTAACATTTTGAAGATTGCTGAAAGCTATGCAGGGCAAGGGGGGTTGGGAAGGCATTTCACAGAGCTTGGCAGTCTCTATTTGGAGGGAACAGGATGAGCATCTTTTCCATTTTTACCAGTTACTTCCTTCAAAATGGCAATAAACCTTGCTGTCAATTTTCAGCGCTTCCAGGTTGAAAGGATTAGCTGGTGACAGCACCGTTGCCCTGGGAATGCCCAGTTGGGTGCTCCTTTCATGTCCCCGGTGGGGAGTGAAGGGCAAGAGCTCACCCCCTCCCCCTGCCACTGCAGCTCTTGGGTCTTGAATTTGACCTTGCTAACCTTTTGCCCAGCATTCCAACAACTCGAGCCACTGCTTTTTAGATTGCATTCCCCCAACATGGCTGGTTGGGAAATTCTGAGAGTTGAAGTCCACATATGTTAAAGTGGTAAAGTTTGAGAAGCACTGCTCTAATCACTTCAATAATATTAAGAAAAATAATCAATAAACATAGAATCCCTAGAAATATCAGATGTTGTAAATTATTTTTGCTTTCAATTTTTGTACAATTAAGTGTTATTTTTAAATAATATACAGTTTTAAAAAATAAATAAAAAACAGAATTAAAATAGTATCCTGGAAACTTTGCTATTGCTCTCTTCTTTCCAGAAAAGGTAAGCTTTTTTGTGATCTAAAAACTTGGAAGAACCTCAGAAAAGGGGAAGGGAATAAGTCTTGTGCAGGTTAAATTTTCAAAGGAAGGAAGGAAGAAAGGAAAAGAAAGAAAGAAAAGAAAGAAAGAAAGAAAGAAAGAAAGAAAGAAAGAAAGAAAGAAAGAAAGAAAGAAAGAAAGAAAGAAAGAAAGAAAGAAAGAAAGATCAGGCTATTTCCAATCCGGGAGTAAATAAAATGGAGGCTAAGACGCTGGAAATAAAATGGAGGCTAGCTGTTTGGAAAGAAGGTTTAATGATGAGCATAATCAACAACAGCATGCAGTTCTGGGACAGCTAACAAAATGGAGTTGAGAGTGGGTGGGTTTTTATACCTTCTTTGGGATTTTGTGTTTGAGATGCCTGTTGTGAAATGTACTTTGACCTGTGTAAGAATGTGCCCTTTTGGTATTCTAATTATTGTTGCCTGACTCCCACTGTGGCTGGGAGGTCATGTCCTGTCCTTGGAGTTGGGTGGGGGAATTGTAACTTCTTAATCCCATCAGCTGTGGGGGCTGAAAGTTGCTTGAGGCTTTCTTTTTCTATAGCAGGAAGATTAGAGTTGCTTTCTGCTATTGTTAAGATTTTTTCTCCATTTTTCCTTCAGGAGAAATATTCTATCCTGCCTCTTTTAATATTCCCCAAAATATTTCATTCTCTAGGGGGGTGCTTACTTCCTACAATATCCTCCATTTTGTGCTAATTCAAATATTTTCTGAAATATTTGAATTTTGCACAATTTTAGATCCTGTCTGAGTAGACTTGGTATTTATTGTCTTTTGAGCTCATCATTAAGGGATATTTGGCTGGCATTCTTACTTGGGAGGTTAAGATGGGAGATGATTTTGCAGGCTACTGGGGCAAAGGAAAATACACTGGTGGAGGCAGCAGAGAAGCACTCTTCATGGTTATCACAATGGCTCCCAAAAGAAGAGCTTTTAGCCAATGAAGGTAGAAAGAAAATTTATAGTATCCAATATTTTGTGCCAATTCATTTTAGATGTTTGATGTCACTTTCTGTGAGCTTTCAGTCAGGTTTGAAACAAGCACATGCCCCAAAATTCTTCACAGCCATGGTTTTGTCTTAGTAAATAATTACTGGCTGCCCATTTTCAGGGGTTGCTTCCTGAACCTGCCTTAGCTCCAGTTTAGTACATCCAGGGTTTGTGATGTCAAATTGGGCTTAGCCAGTATGCAAGCCAGGCTATTAATATTTCTGAAATTTCACACAGTGAGCCCTATAACTCCCACTAATGAGACTACCAGTGCAACATATTCTGCTTTACTGGGCAACATCATTTATGAGTCACAATCAGGGCTTGGGGTTTGGAGATCTCTTTTCTGCTACCTCTTCAGTGTGGACATATGGATTGTTAATCATAATTGTCTGAGGGGGCATGCCCCCCTATGGAATTGGCAGAAAGATATGACTGCATGGGCCTTAGTGCCACAGAGCAAGAACCAGCCTGGGGAGCTTTACATAGAGGTAGGTGAAGGGGATAGCCTCAGTGTGATTCTGAATGGTGTGCGTGATCTGCCGCTACTTCTACAAGGCAGGTAATACAAACATCCTTGACAGATTTCCCTCCCACAAGACAGAAGTCTGAGGTGTTTAGGACTTGCTGTGCCAACCACTCCCAAATGTCATCCCTCCATGAATCCATTTAACTGGCTAATTACAACATAAAAGAGGCAAGAAAGAAAACCTTACAATGAGTTTCTGCCCTCCCCCCATAGTCTTTCCAGTTGTCTTCTGAGGCTTTACGTGGTGGCCAATGGATCCAGAAGTCCTTTTTTCTGCAGCTTTCACAGGCATCTTGGTGATGTAGGCCTGGGAAGATCTGTTCCACTTTGGTTGCAATGATGACTTTCTAGTAGATGGCTGGATCCAAACCCAATTCCTGGCTCAAATTAATGGAGGGTCTTCTCTGGAGGCATGTCTGGTCAGTGTGCTCTGCTTCCAAAGGTTGCTGAGGGTCATCTGTACAGGCCTGAAAGATATGAGAACAGTGCCCCTCCCCCCCTTTGTGGGTGACCCTCCCAGAACAGCCATTGTTGGTCTGACATAGGAATGGAGAAGAGAGGATAAGAGATGGAGAGGGGTGGATAGCTTGCAGGCAGGGTTTTGAAAAGACATTAATATTGCAGTTGTTAAAGAAACAGATAAGACCAGTCAAAACAAAATGGGGACACCACAGATGAGAAAAAAGAGAAACTGGATTCTGGTAAGAGAACAAAAAGATGAAGGGTATCACTTCTGAAACTAAACAAATGCATGCTAGGCAGCTTGAAAATGCTGAAAGCTCCAAATAATTTTATATACCTAATATTTTAATGTGTACAATTTGCCAGGGGCAGGAGAGTCTACCTTTAACATTTGTTTTGAAATTTTAAACATCCTGATAGCATTTGGCCCAGCATTATCAATACACACTTGACAAAAAGAACACATTATTTTAGAGACTGAAAATATGCTTATATGTAATCAGATAAGATAAGAAAAGTAACTTAAGAAAGTTTCCCCACACAAGCAAACTTGAGAGGCTCTTGCGGATGGACATACCTCATGTTTCAGGAAAAGGATAGACAGAGAAACCCCATTTGCAACACAAACAGAAAAATGCATAACTAAAACTTTTCCTCTAAAATGAGCTTAAAACATTCCCTCCTGACAACCGTGGCCTTTTCTTAAAGGTACAGAGGTAAGGAAAAAGGGAATACAGTTCTCTTCACCCTGTTTTGCTGGCTAGGCAAATCCTATCTTGCCTCTTTTAATATTCCCCCAAATATTTCATTCTCTGGGGGGTCAGTAAGGTGCTGACTTCCTACAAAAGAAAAGAGGTTAGTAATTCTGAAATAAGCAACTATTGTAGAACCATCCTAAATATCACGCATATGTTTTATATTTAATAGTGCCAGTGAGAAAAAGTTTTTCTTTCCTATACATTCAATTTGATAAGAAAGAATTTGCTTCTGAGTCTCTCAAAGAATGGCATCATACATTTCATTTGTAACTTGCTTACAGATGGAAATTGATATATGTCTTATTCTATATCATGATTTATTTATTATAATGGATTTCTGGTCAATCACTATAATCAAATTTGGCTTTGATTGGAATTGAGCTGGGATACCAGCAAGGAAGGATAGCTTAGGCATATAGATAAATATTAGCAGGAAGTGAGTAAGCACAATAGTATTGAAGCCAAGCTGTATACTGCATTCATACAATGTGCTTAATCAGGTTTCTAAATGAACCAAATTTTGGGGAGGTTGCTTCTAGTTACACGGGCTTCTGTAGAGTTGGTAATGTTGGCAGTGATGTCAGTGATTAACAATGATACCACTGTCTCCAGCTCTTATTGGCCAGTTTTGGTGCTGTGAACATGCAGTATCTCTCTCCTCCAGTCGTTGGACATTGCCACCCATGGCCATTTTGACAAGAGGCTGCAAATGAGATTGGACACCTGGCTTTCACAGAGGCATCTGCTTATATTCACAAAATATTATTTTGGAATATATGGGTACTTTACATACCAGGATTCTCTAGAAGAGTTATACACACAATTCTAAACATTGTGCTGCTAGTTCCATCCCAAATGTGTATGCTATAATCTTTCCACTGCTTCCGCCAACAAGGACCTTCAGGTTGCACTGCTTTGTACTATTTTCACTGGGGTGTTTGTTTGTATCATTTTGCCTACTCCAAATGCAAGTTTGCATGCTTTGTGGGATGTTTCTGGGTGAAAGTAGCTTTCACCAATTTGAGAGCTGAACAAGAACTCTGTCAACTTCCACTTCTAAACTCACAGGACATATGTGCAGCCAAAGAAAAGAAAGGGAGAACTTCTGATGTTCGTCACAACCTCTGCATCATGCCTATAACCTGTTATTTGGACTACTTTTGAATATGGGTCTACAATCTTCTAGAAGAGTAATCAACCTGTGCCCAAAAGCGTCACAGGTCATTTGGGTAAAATGAGAGGAACATTTCTCGATATGATGAACCCTGCTTCATCCTACATATTCTGATGTTCCAGTATATGTCAGTGGGGCATGGGAGGAGCACAACATGAAATGAATGGGAAGTCTCTTGATGTGCCATGTCACCTTACCTCTGCTTCATTCCATACCTCCTAGGCCATCCTTAATGGTCAGGATATTTTTGGACATTAGAATGCCGGTCTTCCAGCAGACCAATAGACCTCTGTCAGAAATGCCAAGACACCAGTATAGAGCATATCCATGTCAAACAGTGACCTGAAAAATAGCTACAACCACCTTTTCTGATATTTACCTTCAGACACCCAAGACCTCTCCAACATATATTATGGTTGATTTTGCCAAGGATAGTGACAAAAGAGGAAGGGGAATGCAGCCAAAGCAATTCATCAATTGCTATCTTGAACTTTTCTGACAACAAAAAAGTAAGGACAGCCTTGCTCTCAGGCTCATTCCTGAAGCAAAAGAGAGCTTGGCCACTAGAACAGTGAAGACTAATCTGGTATTTTTTCTGTCATCTCATAGAAGGTACTTTAATATAACCATGAGAAAGAGCCCCTAATGAACTCTATTTAGTTCTTGGAAGATCCTATCCAAATTCATGTATTCAGTGGCTTTAGGGGCTAAATTCAGGTTACTATTTTTTTTTCTTTATCAGCTACTTGATTTCAATAGATACCTGGGAGACAAGAGCAATATGGTCCTTTCCAATTGCATTTAGCAGTGTAGTGTAGACCCAAAAAATCAGTTCATGTTGAGTAAGGACTTAACAATTATATTTTCTACATACCTTAATAAAATTAGAGGTTTTGAAAGGCAAAAACCTTAAAATTGGATAAAAAGAAACAGAGTCACCCATCACTAGGCCTGAAATAAATCTGTACATCCCTGAAAGTATCTAAACAAATGTTGAGCAAGCTGCTGAGCATTCAGCTAGAATCATATTGTTGTTTTCATAGTTACATACATTGTGTGAAATCTATTTTTATGGCACAGAGATGGCTACCTAATCTTCCATGGCATGGAGAATTACCTTGCCTCCCAAGAGAAGTTAAGGAGGCTTTTTAGTCTGCCCAACCGAAATGAGTTGCAGCATCCTGAATTTCCATACTCAAGGTCAGGCAATAATCCCCTTGCCAATGAAGCAAATAGAATAGTCTCTCTTCATGGTAGCTCCTTTGACCAAAATGAGGAGCTGCCCCTTTGCAGATACATTTTTAACAGAATCATGTCTTTCCAAAGTGAAAATTGTGCCAGATAATCACTTCAATTCCAAATGGTAGAGTGGTGGTTTATCTAAGGAAACAGACTTTTTTTTACCACACAAGTACATATTTCTTCTGTATAGGAAAAGATGGAAACTGTTTCCAACCTAGCTTTTCCCCTGCTATATAGATTAATATTCATAGTGGATATCTATGTTTGTGAGTCTCCACTGTTTAATGGTTAAATCATTTAGTTACCAAGCTGCATCAAACTAACTTCATTGGGAATATTTCCTTGCCAATGATTTGGAACAATTTGGCAACCCCAATTTTATTTCTGGCTTATATGATACTAGCTCAAGTCACATTTTAAATAATTTTAGCCCGTTGCTTTGTGCAGCACAAACCATTTGATCCATGCTCCTTAAACCTTAGCCATCTTGCTAAAATGTCCAGTTGGGAAATGTTTGTAATTCTATCCCCTCTTAAGAAGAACAGTTCTTAATAGTAGGCCAGCTTTAATTGCCAGTGATAAATTCATTATCTAGGCAATACTAACATGCATATCGTAAGAGGGGAGGTAGGAAATATCCACTATCAGCTCTTAAATAATTGCCCAGCCATTAAATAGTGTATTTAATTAGACAACTGGAACACACATAGAACAGCAAAAAGAGTCAGACCTTATGCAGATAGGATACTACACCATCATGACAAGGATTGGATTCTACTAATATGAAAGATAAGGAAAGATACTGAGTTGGCTGGTACTTTAATCTGCCCCGTGAAACTCAACTCAATGAGCTAACTGATGTTAGCATTAAGGGTCTTTCTAACTTTGACATCAACTTTCCAGGTATCCAGTTTCTGATTGCCAAATACCAAAACTCTACATTAGAGAGTTTTCTTGTTGTAAGGCTGCCAACAAGAAAACACTAATATCTCTCAATACTGTAGGATGGAATGCAGCTAAACATATATTGGAATGATGTACTTAGCTATTTTTCAATTGGCTGAACTAAAAAAACTCTGTGGAGGTGCTATGGACCTATGATCTATTTGTCTTTCAATCTATTTCTAAACAGGGATTTAGGACTCTTCTGAAAGAGAGATAAAACTCTCTAAAAATAATCTGGCAGACAGGTTGCCAGCATAGAAGAAGAAGCTCCCCAAAACTCATCATCATCCCAAGAAATTAAAACAGTAAAAAGTACAACATGAAGCTCCCAAGAAGCAGAAAACTTGAATGTGCCCAATGGTGTCAGAACCAACAATATATAGATGGCTGAACTCAGCTCTTTCATGGTTAAAATGACCTTCAAGGCAATTGTACTAGTCCTGTTTTAGAACAAAGGCCTAGGCCTCTTTCAAATGACCATTAAAACCTTGCTTATCAGGAGTGAGCTCTATTGGAGCTTAGAAAGCACCCATCATGGGCAGATGCCTCTCTGGAAGTCAAGCACCTCAACTCTTCTGTAGCAAAAGCCAAAGTTCATGTAGAGCAGTGCCCAGCAACAAAGAGGGCAAGGGGCCTGTTTACACTAGACTAAAATGTCCAAAGATGCTGGGCATATCCCATTCCTGATGCATTCACAACCACATTGTCAGTGAAATATCCAGTATTTTATTCATAACAAAAATTGTGCGAGGAGAAGGAGCATATTACTTCAAAAATGGAACAGTTAACAGCTGACTTTGAGCTGATGTTAAGCTATGGGCTGGGGATGAAAGAAAATCTGGTGAGGATTTGTACATACTTGCAATAAGAAGATAAAATCTTACCAGTCTCAAGGATCCTACAGCCAGATTTTTAAATAAAATAAATCAAGCAGTTTATTGACCAGCCATGCTTCATAGAAAGGGATTTAGGAAGAAATATCAAGTCTAGGAATCTTATTCAAATATCATCAACTGATTAGTTTATCAATTCTAATGACATTCTTAAAACCATTTATATTAGTTTTCTAAATAACTGTTTTCCATTGATTCGACAATAATATTATCTATATGAAGTTTCTTATTCTGTACAATGTTTTATGGCATGGAGTGCTGTGCGGCAATAAAAGATTTGATATATTTCAAGTACAGTCTTGAAATTGTGGCCTTTGATTGTGATCTTGCTTTATAAATTGATAAAAATTCAAATTAAAGCACAGATTAGATTTTCAGATTAATATTGTCCCTGTTGTAAATTTTTCCAATGTAATTTCACTCCTTATGATGATTGATGATTCCAGTACAATTTACAATCATAGAGAAATCAGAAAAAATAAACAAATATATTTTAAAACAAATGAAATGTGGAGAAAATGAAATAAAACGGATTCTATCCATCTTACTCGTTCACCCTGAAACCTGAAACAAATGTATATTTAATAGATAAACAATTTATAGTTATTCTCTCCAAATATAGTTGAAGTTTCAAGTCCTGTCATCACAGTTAACAATCAGATTAATTTAATCATTTGATCAAAACTAGCGAAATGTTTTATAACACATTACTGCAATTAATCAACTAATCTGGCATTTTTATGTAGACTTGCCTAAGACCATGGTGCCCTTACAGAGTCAGAATTATTCTGAATTAATCATACATAGATTTAAACTTGTTTACTAAATAAAAATACACTATAGTCCCTATTAGGATCTAGAATCCTAAAATATTTCAGGACATTAGCTTGGGAAAAGTTGTTTTATGTCCTTAAATTCTTACAAATATTTAAATAGAATTTAACCATCCATTTTTATATTGTCAAAACATGTGGGGAACAAAGTGAGAAATGGCTACCAGGAAATGAGCAACATATATTGAAGAATGATTCTAGGGCAGAGATCATTTCTTTTTCTTTTTCTTTTCTTTTCTTTTCTTTCTTTCTTTCTTTCTTTCTTTCTTTCTTTCTTTCTTTCTTTCTTTCTTTCTTTCTTTCTTTCTTTCTTTCTTCCCTTTTTTCTTTTTGGAACTTCACATGAATTATGGTTTCTTCAGCTGTTCTTTTCTATCTTGGCATAAGAGATCTCTTTTCCTTTCCAGCTTTCCATTACCATTAAAATGGTAATGACATATCATAACCTTCTCAGTAGACAGTCTCTTATTTCTGAGATATTTAATAAAATATCAGCCCTTTATGTTTAAGATTGTTCATTTTAGGGACTTATATCCCAGAGAACATTTGAAAGTGCTACCCTTATCTTCAAATTTCATCTTAAAACTTACTTTTTTTTAGTGCTATCTGTGCTTTACATGTTTCCCCACAATTTACATGTTCCCTCACAATTAAACCATAGCCAAGTTTTAAATATTGTTAGCAAGAATAATCACATACATTTTCCCATATAGTTTTTCTTATATACAATTTTATATTGGAAGATATAAAATTGCATATAGTTCCTTGTATTTATAATAACGTAGTTCAGTTTTCTGGGATATACTTTACAAAAGACTGACGAGACTTAAGGAAGCCTTAGCCAGTTTTTAGATATCAAAGCTACAAGGCAGTTATTATCATTTTGCACAACCATTCAGTATAGTGAGATGCTTCCAGATGAATATTTTGCAGAACTGACAGTCATGGATGTTTTTTACTATCCTTAATAATTTTTTCCCTGGTGACAAGAAGTGATAATGAAAACACAGAATAGTTTACCAATAGAACATGAGTTTATAAGGTTATTTCCCCCCACACTTCTGACTGAAGAGTACCATTTACAGTACTCCTCCTCTAATGTTCTGTACACACTGGTAGTGTAAATAATAATAGCAGTAGTAGTAGTATCAATAGTATTAGTAGTTAAATAATTAATTAGGTCCATCAAGTTGTTGTCAACTTTTAGTGACATAGATAAAATTTCTCCATGATGATCTGTATCTAATCTAGTCTTTCAGGTCTTCCATCTGTGCAGCCACTATAATTGAGTTTATCCATCTTGTTGCTAATCATCTTCTTATTCTCTTTCCTTCTGCCTTTCCCAGGAAAGCTGGGTCTTCTCATAATTTGAACCTAGTTATTTGTTTTTCAAGTAAGATCTCTGGATTAATCTTTTTGATGTTCCATTGATTTGCTTTCTTGGCTACCCATGTTATTCTCAGGAATCTTCTCCAACACCAAAGTTCAAAAGCACCCATACTCTTCATACCCTGCTTCTTCAAAGTTCAATTTTTGTTTCCACAGAGTATCACAGGGAATATTATGGCTTGCACAATTCTGATCTTTGTAAGTATAAACACATTAAAGCATTTGGATATCTGTTCCAAGATTTCTGTTGCTACCCTACCAAATGCTAATCTAACTTTTCCATAGCATCAATATATGTTGGGATTATTGGTGATATCACAAAGCACATTAAATTAGGAGGAAATTATTGGGTATAATTACAGTGTTACTTCCTGAGTTATAGAACCAAAGTTCCTCTGATACACAAGCAAATTTTCCTGGCATGTAAGGTACCATTATTAATTCAGGTTCATTCGCACAGGAGAACATTATCAGTTGGTACTGAAAAAATGTACCCTATTAATGGATTTTATAGTTTTGAATTTGGGTTTCCGTTTTCCTTTGTATTACAAAAACTAAGATGCAAATAAAAGTTATTCCATTTTAAATGGCTGATCAATAAAAGCTACTCTATTTTAGAACAGCCCTTATATTTAGAACAAAGAATTGTCAGCATCTCCAGCAAGTGGAATGAAGGATAAAAAAATAACTTTGCTGTAATTGCCAATAAAAACAACTGGAATTTCAAAATGGGAGGTGCATCCATAATTAGTGGGAATGTTGAGTTCAATTCTTTTTCTCCTCAGCTCTGGAAGTCAGGAAATGCAGATGAGAAAAAACAATGATAATGAGAATGTAACCTTCAGCTTCATCTTTTCTTCAAACATAAGGGGAGCCACTATCTAGATTATGATATCAGTGTTGGTAGAGAGATCTTTAATTTTTCTTCTGCCTGTCTTTATCCTTAATCTTAATGCTTCCTCCATTTTGTTCAGGGCACAAACCTCTCAGTCTTTGATGGAAATGCTGGGAAAGTATGCTTCAAAAAAAAAAATTAGGTAAAGGATAAAGAAATGATTGGAGCTGGACAGAAACAAAGTTAGATTTAATTTAATTTTCAAGTTAATTAAATTTGAATTAGTTCCTTTCAGTTAATGTGATTATATCTCATAATTTTCCTCTTGTGTCATACTAAAAAAAAAAGAATTATAGATAGTGGCAAATGTTAGGGGCTCAAGGGATCATCTTTAAAATGGGGTGGGGAGGAGAAGGCTGCAAACAGCACAGGAGTTTCAGCTTGTGTTTTTCTGATAGATTAACTCATGGAGGCAGGAGAAAGGCAACACTTCCCTAAGAAAAAGCCATTGTGGTCAGGAAACGAATCAGTTGGAAATGTTTTAAAACAAAGAAATACCTTCCTGGCTGAATCAATTTAGGGCTTTGAACTTTGAACCCTTAATATCAAGAATGCTAGACACGGATCTTAAATATCATATCTATCTTTGATCATAAAAGTTAAGGTTTAAGGTTCAATCAGTTTTCCTCTTTCTTCTTGGACTTGTTCTTCAGAAGAAAAAAATGTGAGAGTTGAAAAGTGGTAGAAGTTCTTTTCCAGCCAGAGAAATATGGAAACTGCTTCCTGGCTGATTTTTATTGTTCAACATGCTGCGCCTTGCAGATCCAAATCTCACAGCACAGGTAGTGCTTTGAAAGAACAGCACATACTGGCTTGAAACAACTTTGCATTCCCAGGAGGAAACACAAAAAATCAGCATAATCTTGTTGGGAGAATGTAGCTGCCTGTTGTGCCTCTCAAATTAATGCTAAGAAGTCAAGGGAACAGCTTTTTTTAAACCTTACTATTCATACAGATATATTCCCTCTGCTCCCACTGAGCAAAGGTATTGATAATATACATAGAAACTCAGTAGACAATAATAGAAGGATTTTGAATCTGAATCTGAATACAATGTACCAACCAACATCCATTTATATTAGTTTGGGATTTCTTGGTAAAAAGAAACTAGAATTTTAGGAATAAAAACACAGAATACATGGAAGGTATTGCCAAAATGTTTCAAGTTTTTGGCATTCATAAAGATATAAACCAGCACACTTTCAAGAAAATATACTTGCAGTACCAGATACCGCATCTGTTAGCACATACACATACCTCCGCTTTTCTGCAGCACTACCAAAGTCTTCTTTCTTCCTGTGGTCCTGAATTTTTGGGTGCATATGTGTGTTTTAAGAAAGAATGACTTCTTCAACCCACACAAAGATCTCTTTTTAAATTTTACAAAAGATGCGATTCCACTTTGCTTTGGGATAAACTGTAAATCAGGTAGCCATTCCAGATATGTGTGTAGAATTGGACTAGATAATGAATAAATGGGCAATAAAAAGCCATGTCTCAGAAATACGAACCTAAGTGATTGTTAGGCTGGAACAAGTTTAGTTTAGTTACATGCAAGTATGATCAGGGAGGCATGCACCCATTTTAATATGTGAGAGGAAAAGGGGTACAGCAGATACAGTATGCTGAAAGGCAGTTGGTTTGAACCACAGGCACCACCATTTTATTTTGATTTGAAGGAACGGGGACACTGTGAATCTGAGAGCCAATTTGGTCTTGATGATTAAAACATCAGGCTAGAAACCAAGAAAACCAGAAGAGTTCAAGTCCTGCCCAAGCCTTAGCCAAAGGTGCCTTTGGGCCAGTCACTCTTTCCCAGCACAACCACCTCACAGAGCTGTTGTGGAGAAAATAGGAAGAGGAGGATGTGTTGGGTATATTCACCACCTATTATTTGTAAAAATAATAAAGGCAGAATATAAATAAATAAAAAATAAATCTGGTTCTCCAACTTCAGTTGCTTGTCTGTACTTCCATTAAATTTGGTAAAGCAACCTATGTGTAAAAATGTTATTACAGAGGTATCATTGTCTTCCACTGCAGCTTTTCTCCCATGTCTCTGACCTTGTAGACTAGAGCCTAAGCAGGCAATCAGTGGTTTCCCAACTATAGTTGAATTCTAGTTCCCAGCAGTCCCATTAAGCACTGTAGGACCAATGATGAGAGATGCTGTAATCCAAAAACATCTGAAGGAGCACAATCACTATCTTCCATTTTTAAAGCACTCTTCTCCAACTGAATGTCTTCTGAACTTCAATTTCCAAAAGATGCAGCTGATATGCTATTCCTTTTTCAGTAAAGTAAAGCTGGAAACTTTGATACTTTCTCACATTCTTCATCATGTTTGCACCTTCAGCATCTTCCTTGTTTCCCCTTGACCTAGTTACCCTGTTGTTCTCCTTGTCCCCTTTATTGTTTTTTTGCTTTAAAGTAACCTTTAGGAATCAGATTTATAATTGGACCAAGTGCTCCATGTAGTCCTGAGGGACTTCAGTTTGACTGTCTATAGAAGCCATTTATGGATCACCTCTGTATGGCAAATCCAAATACTTTCTTCTTCTCCCTCCTGATTTCTAATGTCTTTGAAAGAGGTGGATACTTCTACATCTCAAATCCTTTTAACACGTCATGGTCACTGTGAAACTCCTCTCGGCTGGGTTTTCTTCTTTACAAACACTTTTCCAACCTTTCTACTAAGTGTTTGTGCGAGAGACAGTGCTTTCCTAGGGTTTCCCTTTCTCTTTGTTGGAATCTGCCCCTTCCTACTGTTCTCTCCCAACAACCTCCTCTAATTCAGTGGCTTTCCATACTCTTGTAGGTTGCTGACAAGCCCTGCTGCCTTTCTGCTAAGAGTTCTCTTCCCTTCCGGCAATCCTGTAAGGCCAGCTGCCTATTCAGAGTAGTACAGGATGGCTGGCCCACAGCAAATAAGGTTAATCATCTTATCTTTCTTCTGAAGTTTTCCTTTCCTCATAATTTCTTTAGACAATTACAAGGGAAACCAGAAACTTTTCTTCTAGGATTATTAGATAAGGAATTGGGGGGAAATGGAACTTTGTTACTATAGATGTTGACAGCTGCAAACATTTTATATGCCCAGAAATGGAAAGAAGCATTAACCCCCACAATGGAGGAATGGATTGAGAAGATGATGGAACTGGCAGAGATGGTGATGTAGTTAACTGCATTAATTAGGGATAACAAGGTAAATAGTTTTGTGGTTACCTGGAAACCACTTCTGGACTTTCTGTATGAAAGAGGGAAAAAAATGAAATTTTGGTCTTGGGTTTTGATGATTAAACGGGCTACTGGTATAGAAATGGCTTGTAGTTACTATTTGGCACAAGAAAAAACTTGATACTATAACTCTATTAGGTAACTTACTGCATTGAAAAAAATTGGAAACTACTGCTTTTTGTTTCTTTTTTCCTCTTTCCTTATTTTATTTCCTCTAACTTCTTTCCTTCCTATTCTTTCCATTATCTTTATTTCCATTTGTATTTTATGTTAAGAAAAACTATTTTAATAAAAATATATTTTAAAAAATTATTTTGATATTACTACCCAAAAAAGATAAACACAGAGAGAATATTTTTTTTTCTTAGTGGGCATATTTTGCTTCCACACAGAATCCACCACCAAAAGATGTCACTTCTCTGTGTGCAAGAAAAGAATAGCTCATTTTTCTTCAGCCTTTTGAAAATCCCCCCCCCTTTTTCATATTTCACCATTATTTTGTCTTGACTACAGCAATTTTCTCCTATCTAGTCAAAAGTTGTCATCCCTCACCCTTCATTTTTTCATAGCACTCCACAAACCAAATAATTCCTTATTTTCATCCTTCAAAAACCTGATCTAATCCATATTCCTTAAATATCTAGACCACCTTTATTTATTTGAAAGATTTGTTTGAACGACCCTCTTAAGCAACTGTGAGCAACTCACAATAACAATAACAATAATAAGAATCCTTCCCAACTGGATGTCCTCTATATGTATTAAACTCTCCAAATCCTCAAATCATCTTTTGACATAAATTGCCTGCCCAGGAGATCAGGTTGGGGAGACAGTGTTGATTCTATCCTATCCCAAACATTCACGCCTCCTGAAAGTTTTGCTTCTCCATTCCCAGGTCTCTTTTGTGATGTAATCTTCTGATGTTTCCTTCCATCTTTTCTTCAATCCAATTTTTCTCATGAAAGCCTGAAAGTTCTCAGCCTCCCCATCTATCACAGCTTTCCCCAAATATTCAGCTTTCCAACTGAGAAACTACAGTCCCAACACTTATGAAGGTGCAGCAGATTGCCTTGTTATATCTAGCTGAAATAACATATGTTGCTTTCTTCTGGGTTGAAGTTTAAATAACGTGAAGTCTTTAGATGTGGGAATTTTTCTTCTCGCATGATGGGTGGGAAAACTCCGGCCTTTCAAAGGTTGTTGGGCTACATCTTTCACATCCCATGACTACTAACAATGAGTTTTGGGACTCTGTGGTTTCCCATAATACCATAATATGTAAAAAAAATTGTTTCTTAAAATGATTAGTCCTTGGTCTCCATATAAGAAAGCAGATTCATCCATAGAGATCACACTATACTTCCTATGGTCGGGAATGATGTAAATCACAACTGTTGAATCCCTCCTGATCTGTAGCAGAATATGTGTGTTGGGGAGAAATTGTGTATGTTGCAGTACCTTCATCTCTACCTCATTGATATTAGGGTAGTTCATGTGTGATGACCAACCTGGTTCAAAGAAAGCACAGAAAATCACAGATCCATATATGATGGCCCCATTCCCAAAGTCTCTAGTATGTGCTATCTTACTTTCTTGGTCAGTGACCTCTTCATTAACGGGCGGAAATTAAAGAAGGATTCTACATATGAGTTCTTGAACATAAATGGAACACCCAAAGCAATCAATGCAAGAACCCACAATCCACATACACAGTCTTATTACTTGGTAGCTTAGCTTAATAAGGTCAGGAACAGGAAGAGTAGGATTAAGTAAAAGAGTAGTACTAGCATATACCTTCCTGTGCCCCTATATACATTTGCACTGCTGCCAAAAATCATCCTTGTCCCTGCATTTTATGCATTTGAATAATAGCTCACATTTATTTCCCCCCCCCCACTGAAAAAACCATCCCAGGGAGGATTGGAAACATCTTTATGGATTTTATTAAAATAAGAAACTCAGACCAGACCCCAAAATGTCACGGGAATCCACAGGCCCTTTTTTTCTTTTTCAATTTTTTTAGGCCGGAAGTGCAACCCCCATCAAACCCAACATTCCCACCCTAGATTATTACAAATTAAAAAATACCTCCACACCCCTGTGTCTCTGGGGAGCACATTGGCTGTGCCTGCTTTCCCATAGTAATAATACTAGTCATAAAAAATTTCCCCAAACCCTGTGTGCCCAGCATCCCCACATGCTCCAAAGGTGGGGCAGGGTGGGGTGAGGATCCTGGCACCATTATGACCTCCCATCTCTTTATTTAATTTATTTTGTGTATCCCAATGGATGAAAATAGAATTTTGACGGAAAGCAGCTCAAAATAAGATTTTTTAAAATCCCTTTCCCGTTCCACTTGGTTTTTATTCTTCTTCCTAAACATTATTCCCATGACGTTGAAAGGAAAATGTCCTCCCTTCCTCCTTTGTCACTGTTATTATTCCTTTTCTTTTCTTTCTTTCTTTCATTTCAAAGTAAAACAGCAGGTAGTTGGATACAGAAACAGCCCCATCTGTATAAAAAAAAGTCTCCAATGTAAAGGGAGTATGGTAGAAAAATAAGAAAAGGAAAGGGGAGAGAAAAAGAAAAGAAAGGGAAGATCAGGCAGAAGGTGAGAGCAGTGTCTTGTTTTGCAGAAGGAAAAAAGAAGAGAACATAAAAAGCTAACTTGGTGAGAATCAAAGATATCTACTGGTGGAGGCTTGGGAATCCAAGATCTGCCACAGTGGTGGAAAGACCTGTGTTTGTTTTTGTTTGTTTTTAAAGTGAGGAGGCAAGAGCTATTCCTGAACATGTTCCTCACTGCATATACTAATCCTTTGCCGCCCTCCCACCACAGAATTATTATTTTTTTCCTCAGGCTGTGGCTGTCATATCTGTGTCTCTTGGACATTTTCTTTAGAGCTGCTCTTGAATAAAAGAGGTTCATGGATGGAATTAAGCATGGGGTTCTTGGAGCACGTGAGGGGTCCACCACCACTATTGTTATTGTAGTGGGCCTTGAAAGCAGCATAGTGGTTGAGGTGGTCATGCTCAATGGCAGGAAGTGCAAGGTGGCTGTCACCGGGAGCTCCAGCTGCTGCAGGCAGCTCATCTTCAACATTGATGATCTCAATAGTGCGGGTAGGTCCATGATGCTTATGAAGCTGATGCTGCTTACGAAGCTTATAGAAGACAATGAGCATCACAGCAGCCATGAAGGTAATGGCTACAAAACAGCCAATGATGATCTTAGTAGTTTTCATTACATCATCCAAATCTTTCATGCCGTTCTCTGTGACATCAGTGATTGGGATAGTAAATGGCTTCTCAGTGCTGCGTGTGCTGCGAGGAGTCAGTGAAGTAGTGGAATAAGTCATGCCCCAGCCTTGGGAAGGTGTTGGCCCAGGTTCCTTCTTTGTAGGAATTGATTCTTCTTGGCTAGAATCCATGGTCTCCACAGTTACAGTAGTAAAGTAAGTATAACCGGTAGTGGCTGGATCTACAGCTGAGACGTTGAGTGTGGCTGAAGCAGTGGTGTTGCCAGCTGAATTAGTCACCATACAGGTGTATTGCCCAGTGTCTTGGACTGTCACATTGGTGAAGTTGAGTGTGCCATCATGAAGGACAGAAATGCGCACCCGATAGGAACCATGTGTCATCAGTGTGCCATTGGGTGTGAGCCAGTTCACTGATGTCATGGAGGTCCCTGTTCGGCACTTTAACTCAGCAGCCATTCCCTCAGTCACATTAAGATCAGTTGGAGGCTCCACTATAACAGGGGCATAGCAAGTAAAATGGCTTTGATCCAGCTCTCCAATATATCGCCCTTTGAGGTTTGGTGGGGCATGGCACCGGGCACAGCAGGTAGTGTTGTTGGGCACTGTCTCTTTGAGCCACCAGCTGAGCCACAGCACATCACAATTGCAATGCCAAGGATTATGATTGAGGTGGACACGCTCTAGGCGGTGTAAAGGGGTGAACAGATCATGGGGCAAGGACATCAAATTATTGTGGGAGAGATTGAGTTCTTCCAATGACTTAAGGTCATCAAAAGCATTGCGTTCAATGGTGGCCACTTGGGCATGCATCAACCACAATTTGCGAAGGCTAGTCAGGCCTTGGAAGGAGCCTGGACGGATCATGTCCAGGCGATTTCCAGAAAGCTCAAGTTCTTCTAACCGTACTAAGGCTGTCAAATTTGGGATATCCTTAAGGTTACACATGCCCAAGTTCAGGTACCTCAAATTGACCAAACCTTCAAAAGCTGCTTCTGAGATATATTCCAACTTCTTGAGCTCTCCAAGATCCAGACGCCGCAAAGAAGGGACTCGATTGAAGGCATAAGAAGGGATGCTTTCAATGGGATTGTTCCTCAGCCATAGCTCCCGCAACTTGGAGAGGTACTCAAAGGCCTGTGTGGGGACAGTTGTTAGCCGGTTGTCAAAGAGCTCCAGAGTATTGAGATTGGGCAAGCCATTGAAGGCACCAACCTCAATCTTACGGATGAGGTTTTTGCTAAGTTGTAAAATCTCAAGATGACGAAGGTGCTTGAAAGTGTCTGTCTTTATCACCTGGATGTTGTTCTCCTGCAGATTGAGGTACCGTGTGTTGATTGAAATGCTCTCGGGCACTTCCACCAGTTCCCGGCGTGTACAGATGACCCGGCTGGCTTGGTTGCTGCAGGAACAAGCAGCTGGGCAGGAAGTGGGAGAGGCTCCACCCAAAACAAATGATGGCAGCCAGAGGGAGATGACAACAAGATGTTTCCAAATCATTCTAGAGATCCCGGGGGCCAGCCAAGGCTTCCGAGTGCAGCGGTGGGTGGCCATGTCCAAAGCTCATGCTTCAGTGAACAGCACGTTTGATGCTCAGATCTTCAGAAACTGGGAAGAAGAAAAAAGAAAAATAAGGCTCCCAAACCAGATATATTTATAATTAGAAGAACTGGAGTTCAGGAGTTATTCAGTGAAATGGATTTTGGGCAGTTCAAGACACAGATTTCTTTCTATACCATCTGATTAATTTACAGAATTTATGGAATTACTGCAAGATGTAGGGATGAAAGGTCAAGAGAGATGAGAGAGATAGAGATACAGAAGAATAGAGAGATTAGACAGACTGTGGATGGATAGATAGATAAACAGACAGATGATGATGGATGGATGAATGGGTAGATAGGAAGGTAGAAATGATAGAGAGAGTTCTACTCCTGCCTTAGACATGAAAAATCAGCTGGATGACCTAGGGCCAGTCACTTTCTCTCAACACAACTCTCCTCTATGCAGTTTTTAACCAGTCATGCCAAGACAGGAGACTCCAGGGGCTGCAACAAGAGAATTTGCTTGTCTTGTGCAACCACAAAAAAAGAATGGGGGGAGGATGTGTGTCCCATTTGCATCCTTGTAACACAGAATATTTTTTAGGAAATGCCCCATTTGAGCCAGTACACAGCATGTAATTGATGTTGTATATCCAATGAGTCTTCCATATGCAGTATCCTGATCACCATATTGCTCAGTAGTATTGCCAATAGTGCACTGCCTCACTTGAGTCACAAGGAGAGACTAGCTGGGCCAGTGAATGAACAGTGATCAGATATTAAATGACACAGCACAGTTGTATACATTACACTGTAGATCACTATATTAGATTTCTGTAAAATACAATGGAAATTGCTGTCCTATGATCAGTAGGAAACTACTGGCACCATTTTGTCCTTTGTCTCAGCAAAATATATAGGACAATTCCCTGCAATCAAAACTTAGATTCTCGGGCCAATCAGAAGGCTAAATCTTTAGATGCTAGTTTTCTACATAGAAACAAGTAATTGCATGTTAACAGCATGCAATTTTAAGGTGTTACTGTTTTCAGAAGCTCTAATTACACGACTTATTTCTAGTAGCTTATGCAAAATGCTGTTTTGCAGAAAATGTTGTGTGGTTCCATAGTTAATCCTGGAAAATGCTTTTCCTATACAAAAGAGAATTTGATTTTTTTTTTTAAAAAAAATCATATTATAAGGTTTAGAAAATAAATGCTTCCTCTTCCCACCATGAGAAAGGATGAACTATAATTGGATTTCATTACTAGCATTCATCCTGCTAAGAATCCACCATATAAAGAAATTCCAGAAATTGCTTCCATTTTCTTCTGGCAAATAGTCAGAAATAGTTTAAGCTAGCATAATAGTACTTGTTCCAGGCCTACCCAGCTAGAATAAAAACTCTTAGTTAAGATTCAAGTATAGGACTTGTCAGCCCAACCTCCTAGTTTTTATTTCACAGTAATGATAGGGTGAAATATACCTTGCCATTTCTCAAGTTCTGTTTTTCTACCTTCTTCTCTTTCTACTTTTTTGATTTTGGAGGCAAAAGTATTCACAGGATCCAGTAAGTTAAAATTATGAAAGGGAATTCCTCAGTCTTCCCTGTACCCCTTTGCCCCAAGATGATGATGATGATGATTCATCCGCAGTCAGCCAGCTGTTTAGGCTGGATTTGGCATTTTTGTCTACCTATTGAGTCTTTACCAAGGATCTGGGATAGACAGATCTGGATATTTGATGGTGTTACAGATACCATCACAGGATGGAAGCTGTCCCCAGTAAAGCTGCCTTTTGCAATTGACTGATGGTGAATTAGTCAATGCCAATGATGTTCAAGTCATTACTATTATTATTATTATGGATCATCGCACAGTCAGCCAGATGTTCAGACTGGATTTGCTATTTTGTCTATCTATCGAGTCCTTATCAATGACCTGGGATAAGCAGATGTGGATATTTGATGGTATTACAGATATGATCGCAAGATGGAAGCAGTTCCTATTATTATTATTATTATTATTATTATTATTATTATTATTATTATTATTATTATTATTATTATTATTATTATTATTTCTATATTATATTTATTATTAATGCATTGTGATGTATGTGCAAAAGGAGTGGAGATGTGTTGAATCAGTGACACTGCTTTTTCCCTTGCACATAATTCCTATTCCACATCACCTTCTGAGGATGTTTGTGGTAGAGGCTACTGATGTATTGTGACTGTGCTTTAGAAACACCGAAGTGTGTTTCATAGTGTACAGGGTACATGGTCACCCATGTAGCACCAGTCTACAGCCTCTTAAAGCAGCTACATTCAATATTATCTTGGGATTGCACAATGGCCCTCCAAGCTGCAGCACTATAGAAAAAGACAACATTTGCCTTCCATTCCAAAGGGCTGCACAGCACTAAATCCTATTCCTTTCAGATAATTGGTGGTGCAGTGTTTAGAATGCAGTATCTGCCCACAGAATGGAGTTCGATCCTGACTGGCTTGTGGCTGACTCAGTCTTCTATCCTTCTGAGGTTGGTAAAACAAGGACCCAGATTGTTGGGAACAATATGCTGTCATTTTTAAACCGCTCAGAGTGCTGTTAAGCACTATGGAGCAGTATATAAGTCTAAGGGTTATTGCTATTTCTAATTTCCATTACTTTGGATTTCCCTGACTGCCTAATATCCCAATCACAAAAAAGCAGAGTGAAAGGTTTAAACATGTTAGAATTTCATTGAAGCACCTGGTGTATGCAAAAGGCCAGCTTGTAATGGAAATGGAAACACCACATGCCAATTATAATAATTTTATGATAATTTTCTTCTCTTGTCAAATAATTCCTAAAACAATTTTTCATTTATCCAATTAAATGAGAACTGCAAAGAATAAGCAGCACAGCATTGCTCCAATGTGCTATTATGTTCCTCAATTTTACCAGTCTGGCCACTGTCAGTACCCTGAACTTTTCTTGTACCTTTTAGCATATTAGAAAAGACCTGTCCAGTATGGTTAAACCTCTGGCATAGCTCTCATCTTCCGCAGAGCATGCAAGTCCAACAACCATGTCAAGGCAGGTATTATTATTATTATTATTATTATTATTATTATTATTATTATTATTATTATTATTGATCATCGCACAGTCAGACAGATGTTCAGACTGGATTTGGCATTTTGTCTACCTATTGAGTCCTTACCCAGGACCTGGGATAGGCAGATGTGGATGTTTGATGGTATTACAGGTATCGTCGCAGGATGGAAGCAGTTCCTAGTAAGGCCGCCTTTTGCAATTGACTAATAGCGAATTTGTCAATGCCGATGGTGTTCAAGTGGTGCTCCAGTTGTTTTGGGATTGCACCCAAGGAGCCTATCACTATTGGTACTACTCTTGCTTGCTTTTGCCACAGTCTTTCTATTTCTATTTGTAGGTCTTTGTATTTTGTTATCTTCTCCAGTTCTTTCTCGTCTATTCTGCTGTCTCCAGGCACTGCCACGTCCACTATCCAGACATTTTTATCTTTCTTATCAACAATTGTTAGGTCTGGGGTGTTGTTGTTGTTGTTGTTGTTGTTATTATTATTATGGTTTGTCACACAGGATTTAGACTGGATTTGGCATTTTTATCTACCTATCAAGTCCCATTTCGGAAATAGGATAGGGAGACGTTGTTCTTTGATGGTATTAAAGATACTGTGCAGAATGTAAACAGTTCCACATAAAGCTGTCTTTTGCAATTAACTGATAGTGATTTATAACTGTCAATGGTCCTCAAGTGATACATTGCATCCAAGGAGCTTATTCCTATTTAGCAGCAACAGCAGCAAACACCCTCTCTCTTAGCAGAGTACAAAATGGAAAAAGTGAAGCTCTGGGATGGATTGGATTGGATGGATGGATGGATGGATAGATGGATGGATGGATGGATGGATGGATGGAAAGACAGATTTGCCCACAGTAGCCCCTTCACCCTAGAGTTCCTCTGCCACTTTATTCCACTTCTTTGCTGTTAACTTTTCAGCTAATATCATTAGCTGCCTTGAAGGGCCACTGCAGCAACAAAAGTATATGTATTACAAAGCATTTCCTAGCAGCACGACCTCTCTGACAGTGACCTCCCAAGCATTTAGCTTTCTTTCATTGGAGATTTTTAAGAAGAGGTGGAGGGCCATCTATCTGGGTTTAGAGAGTTCTCTGATGTTGAAACAAGCCATGATTGGCTTAACTATAGTTATTTAAATAAATGACAATTGGCTTGGTTCCCACAATAAGCCAACTTCTAAAACAGGAATATATCAGCAAAAATTCAGCTCCCATAACCACGAAGGACTATAATGCCTCCAGAGATCTCCAGAATTGTAACCAAATGCATGAATGGAAAGTCATCATTCTGCCTATATTTAATTTAATTTAATTGTAATTGTAAATGAGATCAAATCAATGTTTATTCTTACCAACCTTTTACTTTTTAGATTATGGCCCCAGCAATCAGTCAAGCCAATAGTGACCTTTGGGCCAGAGAGGATTGTGTAGCACAAATCATTGCTTATTAATCACAATAACTAGGTTTACACAGTGCTCTAAGCAGAACCAAATAACAAGAGTTTTGAACCAACATGTAGATCATATCTTGAAGTTCTGCTTCATGCCAAACCAATATATCTTTTGGGGGGAAGGGAGCAGAATAAATATTTCAACAAATCATTTGACAGAATTCTCTGGAAAGCTACTTTCAAAAATTCAGGCTTGACTAGATGGATTAGTTCAATAGATACATATAGAGCTGGTTAAACAATAGTACAAAAAGCGCAAAATTTAAGAGAAAATTTTTATAAAATGTTTTATAGATGGCATTTGGATCCCCAAAAGTTGTCTCGCATGTATCTGAATTTACAGCCCAAATGTTGGAGATGTGGAAATTTAGATGCAACTTATTTTCATATCTGGTGGACCTGTAGAGATATTAAAGCTTTTTGGATTAAGATTTGGTGGAATATTCAAAAGATTTTTAAGAGAAAGATAAAGTTTACTCTGCAATTATTTTTGTTGGGTATTAT